AGGGTTTGAAAAAAACCTTAAAAAAAAAAAAAAAAAAAAAAGTCAGATGAAGTACAATGCATTTGCTGCAGTCACCATTTAAGGTTAATTTCAAATTTTTCTAAAAAATAAAATGCACCCACACGGTTTTAGGGGGAAAAAAAAGTGCATGCATCATTATTTTGCAATGAAGCCTGCAAAGCTTTGCAACTGCCATAAGTGGATCGCAGGTGCAATGCCCAGGCTCCAGCAGACTGTTTGGGCTGGTATGGACTTTCAGTTACAGGGCTGGAGGAAGTTATCAGTAGACTACAAGTGCAGTGACATCACCCCACTTGCAATGCATTGAGATCTACGAGTCCCTCTGTCACTATGGAAGATGGGACTAGTAGTATTTTTATTCAAAGATAGTGTAAATGGACCCGTGGATGAATGACACTGTTGTGCAGGCGAAGCAACACAGCACACTTAAAATATAAACAAGATCCCTGCGATACTGTAAGGGGGGGGGGGCTGAATTTGCAGACCATGACCATGTTTCATGTTAAACCCTAAATATAGGTGTAACATGAAACATGGTTTGAATGGTGGAATTGGCATTTAATCCAACATCTGTGGCAGTTAGAGTAACTGTTTTTTTTTTTAAGAAAAAAAAATGCAAAGCTTTAAAAAGAAAAAAAAAATGGTTAACCTGTTTAACTATATTGGGCAGGGCGTCTATAGTCATGTTTCTGTGTTTGCTGATGATACTAAAATCAGGTAATAAACACGGACTTAGACATCTTAAAATTACAGGAGGACCTGGACAAAATAGGGGAGTGGGCAACTATTTGGCAGATGAGGTTTAATGTTGATAAATGCAAAGTTATGCATTTTGGGGTTAAAAATAGGCAAGAGGAATACATATTAATGGGTACTCCACTAGGGAAGTCAGAAATGGAAAAAAGATTTGGGGGTCATAGTAGACCACAGATTGAACAACAGCACGCAATGCCAGGCAGTGCCAAAAAAAGCAAGCAGAGTACTATCTTGTATTAAAAAGGGAATTTATTGTAGAGACAAAGCAATAATTTTGCCACTTTATAGATCACTGGTTCGGCCTCATCTTGAATATGCGGTTCAGGTTTGGTCACCAATCCACAGACAAGATGCCCTTGAGCTAGAGAGTCCAGAGAAGGGCAACAAAACCAATTAAGGGTTTGGAGGACCAAAGCTACGAGACTATGTTACTAAATTTAAACATGCTAGAAGTGAGGAGATTAAGTGGGGACATGATTTTGATGTACAAGATGTTTAGTGATGATGGCAACATCAGCAATACATTTTTTACTGTAAACTCCATAACAAAGACTAGAGGTCACCACCTAAAACTGGTGGAGAAAAGATATAAAGGAGAACTATGAGGTGAGTGCTCTTCACTCATCCTCATAGGTTTTAGCCGACTTGTGACAATGAGACTGTCACAGGTCGGCTCAGTAGGTTGGGAAGTGAGCGAACACATACCGGCGTTCGCTCACTTCTCAATCCTGTCACGGCAGAGCGCCGTGACAGGGGAGGGGCTGGATTCCCCCCTCCGATCCTCCAGCGCTGACCGGCAGAACGGACGGAGAGGGGGCGGGTACAGCTGGCTCTGCCTCTAGATAGGCAGAGCCAGCTGTCACTCACGCAGCTGGGTGGATCCAGACATAATTGTCGGGATCAGTTTCAGCTGCGGCGTCTCAGTATACCGCGAGCTGTAGCTCACGGTATACTGAGCTTAGGGTGACGGGAGGACGCTAGTTTGTGTCCTCCCGTTACCCTTAGAACTATGGGGAAAAGCTCTAACCCCATAGTTCTCCTTTAAACCACAGGGGGTGTTGGGGCTTTTTTTTCAGTCAGAGCGGTTTAAGTCTGGAACTCGCTGCCACAAGCAGTGGTGTCAGCGGAGAGTATTGAATCATTCAAAAAGCATTTAGTAAAAAATGTATTGAGAGCGCTACCACTGTGCTGAAACAAACAGGAGAACTCACATTTGAGAAGTCATCTGCGGGAGGAAATCCAGTGAGGTCCCTGGGTGAATACAGACCTGAAGAGTCCAGTGGTCTGGACGCGTTCCATCCCGGTTGATCACAGCTTGACAAAGAGGATCCGCCTCGCAATGCGTAGCTACCGACCCAGCTTTCACTGCCCTCCAGTGCTCTTTGACCCTCCTACCACTCCCGTCGGCGTCCGTCACTGTACGAACCACCGCTCTGCCTCCCGAGCCAACTGACAGAGAGCCGACGTCAAACAGCACTTTAGACACACAGTGCCCCGGCTGCAACGGCTCAGCCTGGCCAGCTGAGTCCTTGCAAGAGCCAGCTGTCCTTCCATTTGCAGCCCTCGTCTTCATAGGCAGATTATCCACCAGACCACTGGACTCTTCAGGTCTGTATTCACCCAGGGACCTCACTGGATTTCCTCCCGCAGATGACTTCTCAAATGTGAGTTCTTCTGTTTGTTTCAGCACAGTAGTAGCGCTCTCAATACATTTTTTTACTCAGTTTTAACACAGGGCTCCTCTCTCTGTTTTTACTGGGAGCTTGAGGGCGGGTCCAGCTGGGCCGGCCTCTAGAAAGGCAGAGCCAGCTGTCACTCACGCAGCTGGGTGGATCCAGACATAATTGTCGGGATCAGTTTCAGCTGCGGCGTCTCAGTATACCGCGAGCTGTAGCTCACGGTATACTGAGCTTAGGGTGACGGGAGGACGCTAGTTTGTGTCCTCCCGTTACCCTTAGAACTATGGGGAAAAGCTCTAACCCCATAGTTCTCCTTTAAACCACAGGGGGTGTTGGGGCTTTTTTTTCAGTCAGAGCGGTTTAAGTCTGGAACTCGCTGCCACAAGCAGTGGTGTCAGCGGAGAGTATTGAATCATTCAAAAAGCATTTAGTAAAAAATGTATTGAGAGCGCTACCACTGTGCTGAAACAAACAGGAGAACTCACATTTGAGAAGTCATCTGCGGGAGGAAATCCAGTGAGGTCCCTGGGTGAATACAGACCTGAAGAGTCCAGTGGTCTGGACGCGTTCCATCCCGGTTGATCACAGCTTGACAAAGAGGATCCGCCTCGCAATGCGTAGCTACCGACCCAGCTTTCACTGCCCTCCAGTGCTCTTTGACCCTCCTACCACTCCCGTCGGCGTCCGTCACTGTACGAACCACCGCTCTGCCTCCCGAGCCAACTGACAGGGAGCCAACGTCAAACAGCAATTTAGACACACAGTGCCCCGGCTGCAACGGCTCAGCCTGGCCAGCTGAGTCCTTGCAAGAGCCAGCTGTCCTTCCATTTGCAGCCCTCGTCTTCATAGGCAGATTATCCACCAGACCACTGGACTCTTCAGGTCTGTATTCACCCAGGGACCTCACTGGATTTCCTCCCGCAGATGACTTCTCAAATGTGAGTTCTTCTGTTTGTTTCAGCACAGTAGTAGCGCTCTCAATACATTTTTTTACTCAGTTTTAACACAGGGCTCCTCTCTCTGTTTTTACTGGGAGCTTGCACACTGTAATCTCTGGCCTTATACCACATCCGCCACAAGTTTTCTACCCCTTGGTAGTGCGCTTGATCTTTTCGTTTTTATCTTGTTTCAAAAAGCATTTAGACACCTTCCTCAGACCGTAACATACAGGGGTACAGGTACTCTTAAAAACCAAATCACACGGGGACTCATACACAAGCATACACTTGCACAACCACACACAGACACCCAAAGTTGAGCTTGATGGGCCTGTGTCTTTAATCAACCTTAAATAGTATGCAACTATGTAACATGAAGTTATTTTCCAATGTAAATTACTTTTCTACATTCTCACCATTTTATACCTCGCCTCTCAAGGAGCCTCTTATAGATGTCTCAGGGTTTCCACACCTAGTTCAGGGTGTTGGTATAGTACCCAAGGTTCCCAAACCTTTAAAAACTTGGCATGAGCATCTGTCAAAATACTAGCTAATCTTTCGCTGATCATAATATTGTCCAATCTCAAAGTGAATTTGTGATAAGGGAGGAGTTGTTTTTTCCAATTGCTTGCTAGGGTCGATTTGGCGGTTACAAATATCTGATATGCTACGGAGCTTTGGGATGTGGATAAACCAGGCATCGTGGCGTGTAACAGGGCCTATGTGGGATCCTTAGGAATGCGAGTGTTAAATAGGCAGGATAGCAAACGATAAATTCTAGTCCAGAAAGGTGAGGCGAACGGACAGGTCCACCAAATGTGGAGCATGTCTCCAAGGAGGGTGCACCCGCGGAAACAGACAGCGGACGAGTTAATGAAACATAGGATTGAAGAGATTCAAACGTATAACTGTAAACCGTACCAAAAGAGTAACAGCATACCTTCAATAGTCTGGAACGTATCTTGTGCTCTTCCTAAGGGAGTCCGTAATTTAGATAGAACAGTAAACTGAGCAGCCTCCCACACTGCCCACTGCCACAAGACCGCCTCTGTCTTAAGCAGGTTTCGGGGAATGAGTAACGCATCACGTTTATCAAGCCTCTGGCAGCTGTGAAATAGCTTCTCCAGCCAATTCTCCTTTCTACAGAGACAGAAAAACAAAGATCAAATAATTGTCTGTTGCAGGTATAATAGAATTTCCATAAACTCAAGCATGGGAGTATGAAGCTGGGCACATTTAGTCCGTGACAAATGGACCTTAACCTTTAAAAAGCAAAAGATGACACATGTGCACGTCATCTGCAGCAAAAGAAAAAACATTTTTACAACTTTTGAGCTAAATTCGTTGTTACGAGGAGGTATTTTAATAAAATGTGGATGCCCCAATACCTAGTTATCTTGACATGCTAAATCTAAAATTGCAAGCAAAGTATAGTACCATGCAATTCAAAATATCTGTGCAAGTATTGAAACATCTCAATATTCATGAAATGCAGCAATAGCTTCAGTATTTGAAGCAGCTTATATTTTAGGTTAATGTTCCATCACCAAGTATATATGAAAATTGGAACAAGTAAGCTTACCCTGATCTATGAGTGCTTCCATACAGAATAAAGCTGATGACATCAGAAAAATCTTGGGGGTGGAATGTGTTGCTGGGAGACTTGCTCATGTGGTTTCTTATTGCAGTCGAAATTTCCTGCATTTCTGTGTGACTAGTGTTACTGTAGAGGAAAAAATAGTCATTATTGGCAGTTGCTAATACCTGAAGGGTTTCTGGGTTTACTAGGTGTCAAAACTAACTATAAAACTTCTAAAATCCTTATGTTGCAATGCAGATGCAAAAGCAGATTCCAGACAAGTGTATGACAACAGGGTGATATGCAAAGCAAAAGGGGGGGGCACACAAATCCATCATACAATATTAAAAACAAAAACACCTTAACATTAGGGTTTACAGCATTAATTTTTCTTATTCGTTTTAAATATACCATTTTTTTTTTTTTTATAGATTTGTTAAGTGCGAAAAATACCAGTTGAACCTGCTAGAAATAGGAGGGAGCTGGTAACTTTTTAAACTTTCGGCCTGTGTTGCACTATTAGTTCAATTGTTGTGAGATCTCTTAGGGCTATAGTAGCCTCCCCCATGTTATGAGAGGGGAGGTGTTCTGTAGCCCTAAAATAATTCCTGTCCTATGACCTTGAGACAGAACGTGTGTTACTGGCAAGTTCAACAGGTGAAACTATCGGAGAAAAAAAAAAAAAGCAAAAAAACAAGAAAATAAAAAAGGCAGACACCTCATCTAAGGACTGGTAAACTGCAATATATTAAAATGTTGGTTCCAGTTTTGCCTTAATCTTAAAAAAAATCAAAAACCTTTTGCAGATTTCCTACTAATAAAGAGACAAGAACATACATGCAATGGCCAAAATACAGTACCTTAAAACAATATCTAATGGAATAGACTTCAAGAGTTTCCCAAAAGCCTGTCTGAGCCGAATTCCACTGGACACAAGCTGTACACGGCAAACATCAATGCACCTAAAAATATTTATGTATTGTAATCTTTTTTTTGAAGAATAAATACCATGCAAAAAAGAAAAAACAACCAAAAAAACAAACAACTTTCATCTTTTCAAGTCTTTATCTAATTAGTATATGACTACAGCAATGTTAGGAACCAAGAACAACTTTTTTTCTGAAGACTGAGAACTACAGAGAATGCTTTACAAGACTAAGCATTTCTCTCTGTTCTGTTTTTATTCGTATCTCTCTTACCAGCTTTTTAGAACATCAATGCCTGTTACACAACCACATCAGTTAACTCCTAACTCAAGCCGGGTATCATGTTCACAAGACAGAGCAGATTTTACATTTTGGAAGTAAACTCAAGGCGTTTCGCACAAAAAAGTTTTCAGTAAAAAAAAAAAAAAAAAAGAAAGATCTTTTGAAGGGCCAGCACCATGGAGACCAGGGGTACCCGGTGAGGGAGGTTTGGGGCAGAGACTCACCTACTATTTGCATCAGACATCCAATAAGGGAAAAGGGGGAATGCCCACCGACCCTCAGTTTCGCTCTCTTCAGATGAGCATACCTTCCCCCTCCAGGACGGGGTCTTAAGGGACAAGGTCACACCATTGCAGATGCGCTTTGCCCTGGACCTGTATAAACACCCTGCGGGTAACCCAACGTGCTGTACCACATGCCAAGATAGGTGCCTAATGCAGAATTCAGTGCCCTAACTGGTATTACAGGTCCACCCCACACCTTCAGTGTGGGTGCAGCCCCCCTAAGCAGCAACCATGGGGAATTTGGAATCTTCGAGACTGGCTGTGTCTGGCAACAGTGGCAAAGATCTTAAATAAAGAAAGGCAGGAAAAAAAAAAAAAAGTGTAACAAACACTCTTCTACCTCAGTAGAGCCGAGACATACATCACCTAAGAAAACAAAAAACACGGAGGATATCCTGGAGTGGGAGGAGTTATACAAGTGTTTGCTCAGCTCTGGCCAGTGTCAAATGACGATACCCAACGGTCTTGTATGATCAAGAAATTAAACTTTGTTTTATGCTAAGATTAAATCTCAATAGTGCCAACAACAGTATTGAAAGAGAGCATGAAAAGGCGGTCTATATAACTGAAGTATATGATAACTCTGGCAAAAAAAAGAAGAAGATTCATACCTGTGAAGTAGTTCTTCTGGTAACGAGGATGACAGAATATGAAGGCTGTTGCAAGCTTGCAGGCTAATGTTCACATCTTCAAAAAGAGCTGGTAAGATTATAAAAACAAACAAAAAAAAAAGACCTATATATCTATATCTATATATATAATTTTAGGGACCTAGGGATATATTTAATATGTCACAATTTTTGGGAAAAAAAGGGGTTATTATTCACGATTTAGTCTTAGTCCTAGTTGTCCTTCACTTGAAATTGAATGCACACTGTCCCCCCCCCTCCCCTCTTTTTTTTCTACCCTTCTTTTTTTCATAGAGCACAATGCTCACCAACAGATTAAACCCTGAAAGCAGGGTTTAGGTCTTATTTCACAAGGATCACACTATCTTCTAACACAAATATTAGGGATATTTAATGGGGATTTTTTTTTTTAAGTTGGAATAACCCCCTCACTATTCCAATAGTAGAAATGTTTGTTTGTTTGAGCACAATGCTCACCAACAGATTTTATGTATTAGTTCAAAAGGATGACACTATTTTTTTAACACTAATATTAGGGATATTTATAAGTCGGAATAAGCCCCCTCACTAGTAGATTTAAATATTTATTTATGTAGGATAGGTGTAGAAGGGTCTGTTGTCAAATGAGGGTCAAATTAGCAAAATAGATATAAAAGGAGAAATAGATAATCGGTAAATCAAGAAGTACAATATGTAGACATGTAATTGTGATACAAGACTAAATGCATACAGAAGGTCTTACTAGTATGGTTCGAGATTTTGGTGACCTTGTTTTGTGATATTACCTTATGAGTGAATGATATTGTTTTAAGTGTTTAATGAATATTTGTATTTAAAATTCAATGAATGTATATTCAATTGAAAAGAAAAAACAAAAAAATAGGATTTTGGTACTCACCGTAAAATCCTTTTCTCTCCCTTCATTGAAGGACACAGGGAACAGATCGGAGATCATGTACTGTAGGGTAATATCGCCACCTGCAGGAGAAGGACGCTAGGCACAAAACTAAAGACCAATTACAGCCTGGGGCGGCCCCTGCCGGTGGCCAAACCCCCCCCACCTGCTGACAAGTCTCCAGTTAGCAACAAGCAGTAAAGGAGTACACACCCACACAGAGGGGCGTGCCCTGTGTCCTTCAATGAACGGAGAGAAAAGGATTTTACGGTGAGTACCAAAATCCTATTTTCTCTCCCGTTCATTGAAGGACACAGGGAACAGATGGGAGATCATGTACTGTAGGGACGTCACAGAGCAGTACAAAAAAAGAGGGGTGGGGTAACAGAAACAACAAACCCAACTGAACAAAAAAATTCCCCTCAAACGGCCGCCTGCAACACTTTGAGCCCCAAACCAGCATCCGCAGATGCCAAAACATCCCCCTTATAGAACTTGGTAAAGGTGTGAACAGAAGACCAAGGCGCAGCCTTACAGACCTGAGAAACGGAGGCACCATGACGAAAAGCCCAAGATGCCCCAACAGCCCTTGTAGAATGGGCCGTAACAGAAAAAGGAGGCTCATGCCCCTTAATAGCATACGCTTGAGAGATCGTGTTGCGAATCCATCGAGAGATGGCGGCCAAAGAGGCAGCCCGGCCCTTCCGAGGGCCATCCGCAACGACAAACAGAGAATCTGATTCCCGAAACGAAGCCGTAGCACTCAAATAAACACGGATGGCGCGGACCACATCCAGACAGTGCAGCGCCTTCTCCTTCCTGTGGACAGGCTGCGGACACAAGGAAGGCAGGACAATGTCCTCATTGAGATGGAAAGCCTAAACCACCTTCGGCAAAAAAGACGGCCGAGGCCGCAGAACCACCTTGTCCCGATGCAGGACCAGCAACGGGGATGAACAAGAGAGGGCCAATTCCGAAACCCTGCGGACCGAGGTGACCGCCACCAAAAAGGCCACCTTTTGAGAGAGTCAGAATTGGGATCAAAGGGAGACTCCTGCAACACAGAGCACCAAAATCAAATCCCAGGGCGGCAACGGGGAGCGAACAGGAGGAACGATACGTGTAACCCCCTGCACAAAAGTGCGAACAAAAGCGTTGGAGGCTATCAGCCGCTGAAAAAGGACAGTCAAAGCCGAAACCTGGCCCTTGATCGTACTCAAGTCCAAACCTTGATCCACACCACGCTGCAAAAAAGCGAGGATCCTGGAAACGGAAAACAAAACGAGACGGAAATCCAACCAGGCAAAATAAGCCTTCCATGTTCGATGGTAAATCCTTCCGGACACGGGCTTGCGAGCCTGCATCATCGTAGAAATAACCGCATCCGAGAGACCACGGTCCCTCAACACCTGGCTCTCAACAGCCACGCCGTCAAAGCCAACGACGGTAAAGACGGATGGAACACCGGACCCTGAGATAGAAGATCCGGACGAAGCGGCAGGTGCCAGGGGACGTCCGCCACCAACCGAACCACATCTGCGTACCACGCCCTCGGCCAATCCGGAGCCACGAGGGTGACCGGGACGCCTTCCACCGCGATCCTGCAAAGAAGACGCGGCAACAGATACAGTGGAGGGGAAGCGTAAATCAGACCGTAGCAAGCCCACGGCGCCACCAGGGCGTCCATCGCATCCGCCCAAGGGTGCTGGTTCCTGGCCACGAACCGATCGACCCGCCGATTGAGGCGAGACGCCAGGAGATCCACGTCCGGGAACCCCCAGCGAAGGCAAAGTTGGTGAAACACCTCCGGGTGTAGCATCCACTCCCCCGGATCCACCGATCTGCCAATTTTCCACGCCCGGAATGTACGCGGCGGAGAGAGAGCTGGAACATGCTTGTCCGCCCAAGAAAGAATCCTTTCCACCCCCTGAGACGCGGCCACACTTCTTGTGCCGCCCTGATGGTTGACGTAAGCCACGGCCGTGGAGTTGTCCGACTGAACCCGGACCGGCAGCCCCTGAAGACGGCCCGTCCAATGAAGAAGGGAGAGGCGGATCGCCCGAAGTTCCAGCACGTTGATCGAGAGCTGAGACTCCAACGACCAACGGCCCTGAGTCGCCCAAACGTCCAGAAGGCCCACAGGCGAGCGAAGCTTCAGAAGCTTCTCGGGGGGCAGGAAAACCCGCCGAGGCGGAGTCCAGAATCAACCCCAGATACTCCAAACGAGTGGTCGGCACCAGACAAGACTTCTGGAAGTTCAGGAGCCAGCCGAACTCCTCCAACAACCGAACGGTGATTGCCAGATCCGCCGCCAGAGAGGAATGAGACTCCGCCTTCAGCAGGAGAATAGGGGGCCAGAATCGGGGCCAACACCTTGGTGAATACCCGGGGCACTGACGCCAGACCGAAGGGCAGAGCGAAAAACTGGTAATGGTCGTCCCCCACCGCAAAGCGAAGGAAGGACCTGCATGCAAAAGCGGATCGTCGGCCACCGACGCGCCTGCAATAGCGCCACATGCGAGCGAAGCTTCAGAAGCTTCTCGGGGGGCAGGAAAACCCGCCGAGGCGGAGTCCAGAATCAACCCCAGATACTCCAAACGAGTGGTCGGCACCAGACAAGACTTCTGGAAGTTCAGGAGCCAGCCGAACTCCTCCAACAACCGAACGGTGATTGCCAGATCCGCCGCCAGAGAGGAATGAGACTCCGCCTTCAGCAGGAGAATAGGGGGCCAGAATCGGGGCCAACACCTTGGTGAATACCCGGGGCACTGACGCCAGACCGAAGGGCAGAGCGAAAAACTGGTAATGGTCGTCCCCCACCGCAAAGCGAAGGTAGCGTTGGTGGGAGGCACAAACTGGAATGTGAAGGTAGGCATCCTTGATGTCGAGGGAGGCCATGAAGTCCCCTTGATGAAGACACGCCACCACCGAGCGGATCGATTCCATCCGGAACCTGCGAACGCGCACAAAGACGTTCAACCGCTTGAGGTCCAGGATGGGGCGAATCCCATCCTTCTTCGGTACCGTAAACAGGTTGGAATAAAACCATCTGAACCTCTCCGAGGAGGGTACCGGAACCACCACCCCTTGGGACAAAAGATCCGCCACCGCACAATGAAGGTCCGCCAGGCGCTGGAGGGACACGGATGTTGGAAGGGAAGAACCTGTCCCCGGGACGCGACAGAAACTCGATTTTGTAGCCCGAAGACACCAATTCCCGCACCCAGGTGTCGGAGACGCGGGACAGCCAGCGGCCCGCAAAGAGCCGAAGACGTCCCCCCACCCTGGAATCTCGGGATGGGGGCAGGCCTTCATGCCACGGGGGGCTTACCCTGGGGCTTGGCGTTCCTGGGCTGCCAGGGGCGCTTGGCGGCCTGGGGAGGCGGCGCCTTGCTGAACTTCCCGCCCTTCTCAAGAGGGCGGAGGTGGACGAAAACCGCTGGTCCCTAGGCTTTTTCGACTGAGGCAGGAAGGTACTCTTACCGCCCGTCAGATCCTTAATGATCTCATCCAAGGTAGTACCGAACAGACGATCCCCCGTAAAGGGGAGCTCCGCCAGGGCCTTCTTGGAAGCCTGGTCGGCCGACCAGCATTTAAGCCAGAGAAGTTGTCGAAAAGTGACCGCCGACACAAAAAGTTTGGATATCAAAAGGTGCCGCATCCAAGGCCGAATTACACAGGTATTGCAGACCCTGCACCAACTGTTACCTTCATGCCACGGGGGGCTTACCCTGGGGCTTGGCGTTCCTGGGCTGCCAGGGGCGCTTGGCGGCCTGGGAAGGCGGCGCCTTGCTGAACTTCCCGCCCTTCTCAAGAGGGCGGAGGTGGACGAAAACCGCTGGTCCCTAGGCTTTTTCGACTGAGGCAGGAAGGTACTCTTACCGCCCGTCAGATCCTTAATGATCTCATCCAAGGTAGTACCGAACAGACGATCCCCCGTAAAGGGGAGCTCCGCCAGGGCCTTCTTGGAAGCCTGGTCGGCCGACCAGCATTTAAGCCAGAGAAGTTGTCGAAAAGTGACCGCCGACACAAAAAGTTTGGATATCAAAAGGTGCCGCATCCAAGGCCGAATTACACAGGTATTGCAGACCCTGCACCAACTGTTCCGCCAGGTCGACATAAGCAGGAGACACGTTTTCTTCCGCAAGACCCTGACGCAGCATCTTTGCCCACTCGGTCAAAGTCTGGGAGACCAGGGCTGACGCCAACACGGGGCGCAACAGAGCCCCGGAAACAGAGTACATTGTACGCACCACAGCCTCCGCCTTCCTATCCGTGGGATCCCGAAAGGAAGGTGAATCCTCCACCGCGATGACTGTAGCCTTGTTCAGGAGGAAAACCGGTGGATCCACCGCAGGAGGGGTGGACCACCTAGACAGGAAGGACTCTTCAAAAGGATAACGAACCAAGAAACGCTTGGGGACGAAAACGACTTGCTCGGGCGCTTCCACTCCTTGTAGACAAAGTCATCAAAAAAAGGAACATGAGGAAAAACCTTAGTGGAACGACTACTCCTGTGTGTCCTAAACGGAACCGGCGGGAGCGTCGAAGAGCTCGGGGTCTCCTCAATCTTAAGAGTTTCCCGCACAGCGCGAACCAAGGCCACGACCAATTCGCGCTCCTGGACCATAAGGGAGGCCCCCGACTCGTCACTACCAGAGTCCGCCAGGGAGGAATCCCCCTGGTCGGGATGCGCGCCGCAGCAGAAATTTCCCCCTCTTCCTCCGAAAGGACTGGGGAGGGAGCCGGCAAGGAGCGCTTTAATGGAGGGCGCTGCGTCAGCGCGCGCTCCATACGGGACACAAAAAACTGTCCATAGTGGAGGAGAAAACCTCCAATGACAATGCAGCGCCAGCGGACCCCACACCCAAGGACCCCGCAGGCATCAAGGGAGACTGGGAAAGGGGCGCAGAAGCGCAGGCTGCGCAAAGAGGCGACGTGGGAGAAGTCCCTGAAGGCCGCAACCCTCACAGGGCACTGCGGCAAGTCCGTCCCCACTGTCCATGCCCCCAATACAAGCCACAGGCAATTAGGGAGTCCCCAGCAGGCACGGCCCCCACCGTGGTTGTCCTCAGCAACCGTTCTCCCGCAGGCAGACGACCCAGCTACAGCACCTGACTCCGTGTCCCAGCACGTCCTCACCCGACCGCGTCCCGGCAAGAAAGACCGATCCGGGTGACGCGCTATTACAGGGACCGGGAAGCGGCGCACCGGAAGTGCCGTCAGGAAGAGGGCGCACGCGCCCACACCAAACATGGCAGCCGCCAGAGAAGGCCGCAAACGAAGCCGGGGGCTCGATTAGCGGCCCCCGCGCACGGAACCGAGCGGCCAGCAGCGCCGGAGGCCCCAAGCCTCCGCCAGCACCAGGACCGCAGCCCGACCCCAAAAACACCTCCGGAACACCCGCAGGCCGCCCCCTGACGCCGAGGATCCAGGCAAGGACCCCCAGGGCCACACACCCCGACAGACAGGCGACGGAGGAGGGTGGAGGAGGGGGGGAGCATGTGGAGCTAAAGCATCCAGGCCCATCTCATACATACCCAGGAGGATGCGGACCAGGCACCCCCCTCCAGACCGACAGCAGCGCAGGGGACATCAGGAAAAAACGCCACAGGTGCTGTGCGGAGAACTGGCGCCCCCGACCGCAGTCGCGGCGCCAGCAGCCTGAGGGAAGTGCTGTGACTGGACGGCCGAGACCCCCAGTCATATGCACCCCCCTGGGACGAACCCACAGGCCACCCCGCCGGAGCGGGGCCGCCGCAGCCGACCCACCGTAGCGGGTCTGCATGCGTCCGTCGGTCGTCCAGGGGAGACTCCAAGGATCCGAGACATCCAGCCTGTCGCCCGGACAACACTTGCTAGAAGATTCTTCTGAAAAGATCAGGATGAAGTAGGTAAGAATACCCGAGAAAAAATTCTTAGCTCCTTACTCCTGACGCTAGGCAAAAAACTGGAGACTTGTCAGCAGGTGGGGGGGTTTGGCCACCGGCAGGGGCTGCCCCAGGCTGTAATTGGCCTTTAGTTTTGTGCCTAGCGTCCTTCTCCTGCAGGTGGCGATATTACCCTACAGTACATGATCTCCGATCTGTTCCTGTGTCCTTCAATGAACGGGAGAGAAAAGACCATTAATATACATTAACCATTCTTTTACGTGTTCTTTAACAATGGAATGAAGTAGGAGCAACTCTGGATCACTTCTCGATCTATCCCTGCAGAGAACCGTGACTGTCACTCACGTCTCCTTGCAGGGATTGTCCGATCCTCCAGCTCCGACAGGCGGAACGGACAGGGGGAGGCTACAGCTGGCTCTGCCTCAAGATAGGCAAAGCCAGCTGTTACTCACGCAGCTGGGTGGATCCAGTCAGCATTGTCGAGATCTGTTTCGGCGACTCGGTATACCGCAAGCTGTAGCTTGCGGTATACTGAGCCTTGGGTGACGGGAGGACACTAGTTTGTGTCCTCCCGTTACCCTTAGGAGAACTATGGGGAAAAGCCCTAACCCCATAGTTCCCCTTTGAAGCAAAAAGCCCCCAAAAAAGCCTAGGGGAAGAATAAATTGACATACTGTTCTTGCCTTATTTCTAGCTCCCCGACAGCCAGTGCTCTCCTTCCCTGTCCCATGTCCAGAGTTCTGGGCAAACCCTTGAACACCTTACCTACAAATACAGGACTGCTGGTCTTTCATTGTATGGGATGTAGTCAGAGAACTGCAACAAGTTGGGAAGCGAAGAGAAGGGGCGGGTCATTGTTGAGGAAGCAGGGAATAAGGCAAAGTATATCAACCTAATTATCATCCCCTCAGCTAGAAAAACTGTTGACCCTGGCAATGAAGAAAGAGACTGACTGCAAGGGTAAAGGTTTTTTTTGTCTGGAATTCAGCTTTAAATAAATCACTGGTTTGTTTATATGCTGACCTTTAGAAAGCTACATAAAAACGTGAAAGAGTAACCAAACATTTAAACAAACAAAATGTATGCTTGTTGCCAAAAAGACAATATAGCTTACTATTTTCCAGTAGTCCTTTGCAGAACTTGTGGAAAGATGGCAGTGAGAATAAGGGAGTGTATGTGTCAGATTTCTTCATAAGCATGGCAACTTCCAGAGCCCACACCATCAGCAACTTCCTAGAGAAAGAAAGCAATCAACAAGGGCAGATAAGATACAGATTTAAAACTCAAGAGCTCTGTGCACTCTTTACCAATAGGCTCGCCGTACTAACATTTCGGTTAATTCAAAACTCGAGCGGCACTGGAATAAAAATAAAAAAAACACAAAGTCGCACTGAGCCCTTATGTTTTGATTAATACAGAATGCTGAAAGAAGAGATCAAATTAAGTATTGGCAATGGACAGTATTTTTACTCTTGGGGGGTGGGGTGTCAAACGGTATGGCACTTTTGAGTGAATATATGCCAAGGGCTAGACAGATCTACATACCCTTGCTGCTGTACCCACATTATAAATGTCCCTGTGTTTTCTGCTACTACCTGCACCCCGAATCACTTCCCTTCTAAACACTATATTAAGCCTTCCACTAACCCAGAGAAAAAGGACAGTATGGCCTTCCTAAAATATAAAATGTAAATATGTCACTTCCATCACAAAAAGGCATTCATTTATCATTTAAGAATAGTAGGTGGGGCCTTGCAAATCATTCCTATCTGCCCCTTGACAAACTGTTGGTTTATAGTACAGATACAGCCTAATATTATAGAACCATTTATACAGCATACAGCGGTTTCAAGCTTGTTGGCCATCATTAGTGAAGTGCACTGAAATAATAGCTTCAGTGAGGTAGGGCTTGGGGAGCAACAAAAAGGTATAACCAAGGAGGTTAAGGTGGAGTAGGGTCAAAAAGAATGAAGAAGCCTAAACCAGAGTGAAGTATAGTAGAGCCTTCCTAAAACAGAAGGTATCAACATGTATTTCTTTCATCTCGGTTCCCAAAAAACAGGTGCTCAACCCTCATATTAGGAAAATGGGCAGCACTTCACAAATCATTTCTTTTCGCCCCTTGGCCAACTGTTCATGTAGAACCACTGGCACACATACAGATTATAGCATAATACGCATGTACCTGGATGGTTCAACCTCTGGTGAGTCGGTATCATTGCATAACTTTAACTATGAAAACAAAAACACTAAGCATCTATGTGAAAAGGTGATTGAAAAGCGCAACTAAGGGGATGCAGACAAGAAAAATCCAAGTCATTGAATATCCCATGGCATACAAAGAATAATCCAAGTCACTGAATATCCCATGGCGTACAAAGAAAAATCCAAGTCACTGAATATCCCATGGCGTACAAAGAAAAATCCAAGTCACTGAATGTCCCATGGGGTACAAATAAATGAATCTTTTAAAAAAATGGAAAGAGTAAGGAACAACTATAAATCTGCTAAGAAATGGACATTCAGCCTAAAGTGAATGGAAAAGATACAAAAACAGCGCAACCCCAAATGTTTTCAAAACAGGGACTGTGCTCTTGTTTGCTTGTATTATGCAACATATGTATGAAATCTAGTCAATAGATAATAACCAAGAAAGTTAGTGACTTTACCTGGCATCTTGGTTAAGGTTGTCTCTTTTGAGCAACATTCCCAGGAGATTCAGGATGACAGAGAAATGCTTCTTTGTGGCAGTGGTCACCGTGCTGATCACTGCTCCATCAAATAATGAGGGAGATGAGGAACTGAGACTACTGGAGATGAAGTGATCATGCCTGGAAAGAAACACATTAATAAAAACACACCAATACCAATTCACGATAATGTAAAAAGTGTCACTGTGCTACACTCATGTCAGATTACAAAAGCAAAAAACTGAATTGTAACCCTAAAACTCATCAGTAAAACGCTGATGGCAGCGGTGCAACACATTGTATAATATCCCAGGCAACCAGTTTAGAGTATTTATTGAGGTTTTCAAACATCACACCTCACTGGCAGGACAAATATTTCTGTGATATAGAAAAAAAGGTGATGAAGTTTAGAGAAGAACCAAACTGTTTCATATAATATTGCCTTGATGGCCAGTGGTGAGTGGAGCTCAGCTGTCTGCAATATCAGGTTATGACAAAAAATATGCAACACCAACCGACCAGTGTATTTCAGTTTAAGCATAAAACACACCATATGTACACCACTAAAACAAAATCAATATTACTCAACCAAATGTTGAATCAACTGAAATTGCTCTTAAAAAGGGAGTCAAAACTACTTAAAAAATAGATGTATTAAAAGACAAAACCCATGAAACGAGGACTCAAAGCAAGTAGAAAGGGTGCTTGAATAAATACCTGGTACAGTGTGAATACAAGGTGTAAAGCACTGCATACTGCACTGATGGATAGTGGACAGCTATGTCCTCATGCACGACCATTAAATTCTTACTCAGTAAAGCAAACACTGTAGGAGAGAGAGCCCACATCTACAAAGCAATAGAAAATATGTTATATTTCAGAAACCGAAACACAATATAGGATAGTCAAAAACCTGTTTAGAACCGCGTCTTGGGAGGAAAGCAATTGCTTAACCTAAAAATGTTTTAGGCTTTAAATCACCTCTGTCGTATGCATTTTCCTACATACTGTACTTAACCTATTTGCGTGTTTATATAGTGACATTAAAATTCATCACTCAAGTACACAGCCCCTTTCATTTTAGGCCATGCCCCAAAAGGAGCAAACAAGTCCATATCACAATAAAGCAAAAACGTTATTGCAATGTAGGAGAATGCAAATTAAAGGTGAATTCCAGCCACATTTGTTTTCGATTGAGTGGGTATAGACTCCCCAAGGTTTGAAATGCTCTAAGCCCCCCTTTGAGGAGATCCCAAAAATCTATGACCATTTTCTCTACGGTAATGGCAGGGCCTGAGTGGTCAAGACACTCACAGCTACACTCAAGGTAGCAATCAAGTCTGCCACCAATACCGAGTGGGGGGGGGGGCTTCTGGTCTCTAGTATTGACTTTACACAATGCCATTGTTAATCCAATACCATTCATCCCCCACAGAGCTCCTCCCCACATGGGTCACATTAATCTGCCGGCTAAATTCGGCAGGTGAAAGTAAACAGAGGGCAGTGGGCGGGAGCAATAGCCAGCCTGCTGTTTGCTATTTCAAACTGTAATAGCCAATAGTAGGCTGGCCATTGCACCCGCCTACTGAGCAGAGGACCGAACCTGAGAGAGAAAGGTTAATTGCGAACTAAATTTTTTAGTGTGCACATGATATCAAACAACCAAAGAAAAAAAAAGGACGGCATATTATGTCCTTTATTTTTTTTGGGCCGGTTGCTTGAGAGTGCCAGTTGCTTGAATGCTGGATAATGGGGAGTTTACTGTACTTGTCTAAAAAGAAGCAGATAGTTCCACTATGAGCCTGCAAGTAGTTATAAATAGTTTGCATCTGCCTGAAGTTACTTCATTGTCTTGTGAATAAAATAAAACAGCTCTAAAAACACATCTATCTTCTTGGAATACTTTTCTAAATGAAAATATCTTAGATGCTGGGATCAGAACAATAGGGGGGTGGGGGTGGGGGGCTAACTACTAGACTACTACTATAAGTAACATAACCGACAATCATACATACCCCAATTAGTGAGTTCTTCGCATTTCCAATTGTTGTCAAAACGCTTAGATCAAAGACGACCACAAATTTTGCATTGTCCACATTAAATGTATGGCTCTTGTAAGCCTCGTGCTGAATATCAGCACAAGTTTCGGGTAGCTGAAGGCAGGTCAGGAGGCTGTTTAAAGCACAAGTCATTTCTCCCAAAATCAGTTTGTATGCGGTCTCCAAAACTGGAATGTTCTTTAGCGTCAATACTGCCTGGTACAGAGCATGTGCTGCATCTATTACCTGAAATTTAAACATATGTGAAAAAGAATATCAATACATTTGTGTTACAAGAATTGATATACTCCACCGCAGTTCACAGGGCAAATAACCATTTCATTAGTGCCCCAAAGCAGTTTAGATTTTATGTCCCTTTCCTAAAGTGATACAGACAACCATACACTGGGACTATTTTAGGTGGAAGCCAGTTAAATCAACTAGAAAAAAAAATCCCCACCTACTCAGGATAAAGCAGTACATCTTCCATATAGTGTCCCTGGCAGATATTAAATGAAGTACTACAGAGTGAGTGCGCCAAATAACAAAAGCCTCTATATGCAAGGCATAATGCAGAACAAAATTGTTCAATTTAATACCAGTGTAAGTAAAACAAATGGGTTCCTCAACGCAATCAGATGCTTATTATGTTGAGGCATTCTCAGCCAGAAATCTGGAAAAGCGCCATATAACATGTTTCAAAACCTGCACAAATCCCAGGCACCAGTATGACAACAGCAGGATTTAACAACGTGGTCATGTTTCTCCTTTTTGTTTATGCAATGCCTGCAGCAAAGCCTGGCAAAGAGCACAGCCCAGATGCTGAATGGAACCCAGGGATTTTACATATAGTCGGGTTTACTCACACCTAGCGAAGGATCAGCTACTAGCAAACAGAAAAACCTTAAGCCAACCCCCGCATAACCCCTCCTCAACCCAACATGTTTTGTGGTAAAGCAGCACCAAGAGATTAAACAGAAACACAGAGGGGTTGTACCCCTCAAAGGACTCCAAGAAAAGGATTTTACAACAACAAGTACAGCAGTCCTATCTACTTCTCATTCATTAAGGGACACAGTAATTCAGCTGGAATGTCCAAAAGCAATAAACTTGGGAGGTGAGCAACACCGCAACAACCACCAACAGACCCAAAAGGAACTGGGGTCTGCCCAGTATAAAATATCAATATTCACATACCACATTATGACCACTGAGAGGTGAAGTGAACATTCATTTTCTTGTTGTAATGGTAGCTGAAAGTGGGTGGGATATTTTGGGGAAAGTGGGTGGGATATTTTGGGGAAAGTGGGTGGGATATTTTGGGGAGCAACATTTTCTCACTGAAGTTAATGTGTTAGAAGTAGAAAAAAATGGGCAAGTGTAATGATTTGAGTTACTTTGGCAAGGGCCAAATGGTGATGGCTAGATGAATGGATCAGAGCAACTCCAAAACAGCAGCTCTTGTGGGATGTTTTTGTTCTGCAGTGGTCAGGGCTTACCAAAAGTACTCCAAGGAATCGAAACCAGCGACAGGGTCATGGTTGGGGAGCAAAGGCTGGTCCGTGTAGTCTGATCAAACAGAAGAGCTATTGTAGCTCAAATTACTGAAAAGGTTCATGCTGGTTCAGACACAGTGAATCACAGTTTGTTGCATATGGGGCTGCATAGCCGCAGACCAGACTGGGTGCCCATGCTGACCCATGTCCGCCACCAAAAGCGCCTGCAATGGGCACGTGAGCAACAGAACTGGACCATGGAACAATGGAAGAAAGTGGCCTGGTTTGATGAATCCCTTTTCCTTTACATCATGTGGTTGGCCAGGTGTGTGTGTCGCTTACCTGGGGGAGAGATGGCACCAGGAGGCACTATGAGAAGAAGGCAAGCTGGCAGAGGCAGTGTGATGGGCAATGTTCTACTGGGAAATCTTGGGTCCTGCCATTGATGTGGATGTTACTTTAACCCATACCACCTACCTAAACATTGTTACTGATCAAGTACACCCTTCATGGAAAATGTATTACCTGAGGGCAGAGGCCTCTTTCAGCAGCATAATGCACCCTGCCACACTTCAAAAATGGTTCAGGAAAGGTTTGAGGAATATAACACGCTTGAGGTGTTGAGTTGGCCACAAATTCTCTAGATCTCCAATCCATGGAGGCCCCACCCTGCAACTTACAGGACTTAAAGAATCTGCAACTAATGGCTTGGTGCCAGATACCACAACATACCTTCAGGATCTAGTGGAGTCCATGCCTCAAGGGGTCAGGGATGTTGTGGTGGAAAAAAAGGCCTACTCAATATTAGGCGGGTGGTCATAATGTTTTAGCTGGTGTGTGGCGATACAGAGAGCTTTTAAGATGGGGGTTCATGGGTGAAGACCCAAAAAGGGAACAGGCCAAGTGCATTAATCTGAGCGAGGGAAGTACAAATGTGTACCTGCTCAATCTCCACCTGCAACTGAAAATCCTGGAATTGCTGGCGCAGAACAGGGCTTGTATCACATTTGTCTGCAGTATAATGAACTTGTATGATTCCAATAATCATTGGAACTGTGTTTCAGACATGCATTAATCTGAGTGGCAACTTGGCCCAAAGTGCGAGGCAAGGCATCGCACTCACAAATCCAGACACCTGGCGTTGACCAGGATCAGACAGGTGACCAGGTCACTGTACGGGGGCAGTAGGAACAGGCCAGAGTTCTATGTGGCGCATATATAACACTCCACCTAGCAGATATCAGTTCCTCAGTGTTAACCTTTTGTGCCGTAAAATGGGCAGTAGCAGGAAATCTGGAAGGTGCCTAGCAGTGTAAATAGCAAGGATCTCATTGGGGTTTAGCTCAACTGGTCTTACTTACAATAAGTGAGACTTCAAACAAACCGAGGGTAACACCTGGGGCTGGGTCACAGCTCTGGACCTGGAAACTGCAACACAGATGTCGTCAAAATGCGGAGCCCAGGGCTTAAAGGCCATGTGCTAGCCCCGCAAAGTCTAGTCCAACAGGTTCTGGGTACAGACTGAACAGCTGAAAAGACTAGCAAAAAAAGAGCCATGCTAGGTAGAGGAGGGCTATACAGGGCTTGCTTACAATTTTTCTGTTTGCCAGTATCCAATCTTCCAGCAGACAGAAGTAAATCTGTAACTGAATTCCTGTGTGCCTCAGTGAACGAGAAAGACAATCTTTTACACAAGGTTGCCATGACAGGGCACTAACAGTTTTCATCCCAAGTGCTGCACTGTAATTGTTTTAAAGGAAGGAAGAAAGACTGAATGAAGGAAGGAAAGAAAGAAAAAGGAAAAAAAGGAAGTCTTGGATATAGGCAAATTTAAACTTAATTTAAAAGTCATACTTGGCCCAACACACCAATACGAATGCAGGAGGGGAGGAGAACAAGCTTTATTTTTACGAGACAAGTCAAGATTTGCAAATATTCTGCCTACATCTCTGCATTTACTGATGAAATGTGGCTTCCACTTAGGTAACCTCTACTTATGCACAGTTGTATTACTCCAGGCCTAGACGGGCATGTTTATATAAATGATTAACAAGTAACTGACTAGGTTAACACAAGAAAAGTGGGTAGCAGTAAATCCAGAAATTTATAATGACTGCAAAATAAAAACAAAAATCTTACTTCCTTTTCCTTATGGTACCGTAGCAGAAGCAGTTTTGATTCTGGTACAAAAAGTTTCTCCACAAAAGTCGAGGGAAGTTTAGTATTAATTTGTTCAACAATCTAAAAAGCATAAAAAAAAAAAAAAAAACAAGAAAAACAGCAATGAACAAAATGAAAAAGATCTGCAGTGTAAATTAGCTCTCATTTCATCCAGCTGCTAAAAGGTAAGAATGCTGCAGTGCATGAGGTTAAAAATGTCTTATGTACTGTAATATCTGCGATGAGTTTACCTGTGCCACACTTGGATACAATTTTTTGGTGTTCAGGCCTGATTATTTTGGAGGAAAAATATTAGTGAAGGTCTGCACAGATCTAAATCATCGTAGCAATCTGGAAAAGACTTTGAGGACAAGACATTTTGTCCTCAAGCTTCCCCTCTAAGCCCCACTTGTTGACCCAATTAACTACTTACATTGGCAATTTGAAGACTAAAGCTGGCCATGCACCTATAGATTTTCTACGGTCAGATGGAAAAAGTGCAACAGATTCCTCCATCTACGCTAAACTGTGTGGATGGAGGAATCTCCCACTGGGCCAAGCTTCAGTATGTTGCTAGTCAGCCCGGCTAGCTGTCAAAATATCCGAACAATCTGATTGGATGGATGCAGGCGTTGTTGAGGTGTTTTGAGAGCCAGTGGGGCCGACTAGCAAGATACTGAAGCTTGGCCCAGTGGGAGATTCCTCCATCCACACAGTTTAGCGTAGATGGAGGAATCTGTTGCACTTTTTCCATCTGACCATAGACAATCTGCAAATAATCTGTATGGCCAGCTTAACACAGGTACTTGCAAGCATCACAATGTGTCTGCACTTCAGCACTTTTGTTTCTTAGCAATGTTTAGGATATATCCGATGTTCCCTCTGCTGGCCACGCCTACATATTACAGCCCCATAAGACTTCTATAGGGCAGGCTCCCAGACAGGAGATGGACGCAGCCAGGAGAGGGGGACTTGAAGCACTGGATGTCATAAAACAGCAGAGCAGCAGCCCCCAAGTATATATCAGGAGGTGGAGTTGTATAGGTCAGGGGAGGAGGGGAAAAAGAATAAGAGCACTTTGTCTAAGGTTCTCGTCACAATATTTTAGATAGATAGCGTTCCAAATTATAGAAGAAAAAAAAAAAAAGGAACTTACAAAGCCCAATGCATTTAGGACTACAGATTTCATATATGCCAAAAAGTTTAAGATTTAGTTCAATAACAGTTACTCCCATAAATATAACATTATGCAGTCAAAGTGAAAGACAGCAAGAACGGGGACACTTGCAACTTACACACAGGAATCAAGTCCACATGTAGCTGAAGTGCTTATATGCATAAATACCTTACTTGTCTCCCCCCCGATCGACATGCAATTACATTTTTTCAATCAAATGATTTTGTTTTTCAAGAATGTCTGTTTTCGACCAAGTGATGTCATCACTGGGTCTGTCTGCTGTTCTTTGATCTGAGTTTGGGAGTGTGGGAGTCTCCAGTAACCCTCACAGCTTTCTTCCTTGGATCTTTTTCTGAATTTTATGAAAGAACACATCCCCTTACATGTGCCTGGGTGCTGCAGCCTTTAGCCATGCCTGCAAACATTCAACCCATCAGCAGAGTGCACAGCTAAATGGAGCCAGAGATGTATCCTTTTACATAAAGCTTGGGAACAAAATGATTGCTAATAGCTGTGAAAGGCAGGCCATAGACTGTACGAGCCAGGAGGAGAAGTAGCAATTGATGAATTGATGACAGAAAAATGATGGTGGGCTCAAGTGGACTTCTGCAGCTTCAAAGGTTATATTGCAGAGATGCAAGTTTATAGGGAATTCAGAGTATTTACTATCAACACAGGAGAGAACTTGTTACAAGTGTGGGAAAAAATGTAAGACTGGAGTTCAGCTTTAAAGCACATGATTCGTACTGGCCTCAACTGAGCACCTTATACAACTGTACTGTGCTATTATAGCGGACCAGAAATCCATTAAACTTAAACGAAGACAACAAATAGGAGCAACGTTAATAAACAAAGTATACATTATTTCCCACAGCTGCCAACAAGACACTAGATCTAGCGGTCAAAATAACATTTTTATCAAATGTTTAAGTTATTACAAGAGGGAGAATTTAATCAAAATCTTACCAGAGTAAGTAAATGCAGGACTGAGATAATGTAATCTGTACCGGACGTTTGGCAATTCTCCAGTTGGTCTAATCCATATGCAATTATCATCTCACAGTGAATTGCCATACTGGAATCCATACTGCCGAGCAGCACACCCACACATTCATTGGCAGCTGTCAGTACAGCCTCTGAAGAAAATACCTGATTGGCTGCTGTAACACACCTCATTACCCGATACAGAATCTAAATATAACAAAACAACAAAAAAGAATTTACAAGTAACTATTTTATTTACACATTTTCATAGATTAGGCTCCGATTTATTTTATTTTTTTTACACATTTAAAACCCTTTCCCATACACAGTATTTGAGGTTGAATAACAGACACAGATCTATCAAGGTCAACGTGTGCACGTGCATGCGTGGACTAGTTTTTAAGAGTACCTGTACCCCTGTATGTTATGGTCTCTGAGCAAGGTATCTAAATGCTTTTTGAATGATTCAATACTCTGCTGATACCACTGCTTGGGGCAGCGAGTTCCAGATTATATATTTTTTTCCCCATAATTTTTTATAGAGTTTGCAAGTTAAACAAGGTATATCACAGTACATGCGATCCATCAAAACATATCACATTTTCAACAGGTCAGCCATCCTGTGGCACATAACCCATGTACAGCAATACAGTAGAGAAGAACAGTTAAAAAAGAAATGAGAAAACAGAACCTTGTGGAAAACAAAATATTCAACATCTCGCATTTAGATGCGCTGTGTATTAACAGATCGCCTGACCCACACACACAGAATCAGGGTCAAATCCGAACCCCGGTACAGAGTCATGACCCGCCTGTATCAGTCAAGTCGCCAGGTCGTGCCAAAGGACCATTCGCACACAACCCTCCTTCCCACTAAGCATCCTCGTTGTTAAAGCTCAAAAGGTAAGCAGCATACTCTTCAGTCGTCTGAAAGTGTGTCCAACACGCCCATTGTGAAGTGTAATTAGCAAGTGCATCTCTAGAGATATGAATAAGCTTCTCTATCTCCTGAACTCTATTCAGTCTCCTAAACCACTCGCCCACTGTAGGGATTCTGGAGGACCACCAATGGACCGGTACACATGCACGGGCCGCATTGACCATATGCTTAGCCAATGATTGAGTACAGTTTGTCTGGTAGCGAAGTGTGGTGGAGTAGGAACTGGGCAGGGGTGTAATTGCAAGTTCCAGATTTTAACTGCTCTTACTGAATAAAAGCCCCTACGCCCCTTGTGGTTAAATCTTTTCTCCACCAGTTTTAGGTGGTGGGCTCTAGTCCTTGTTACGGAATTTGCAGTAAAAAGTTTATTGCAGATACTCCTTCCCAGGGAAAAAGGCACAGCAACACCTTGGTGATGTTCAAACCCCCAGCACAGGGGGCAGGACATATCCAGGTTGCCTTGAAGAGGCTGAAGACTCGCATCGGGGACTACCTGTGGCATAGAGACGGGCCTCCTCCAAACACAAGTCAAGTCTAGGTTAAAAAAAAAAAAAAGTCTTTTAGACTGGTTATGTTTGTTCCTATACACAAACGAGCAGTTAACGCTTGCCGTACGGGGGTAACAGCACTGCAAGGGTTAAAAAAAGTTTCCTGGAGTTAAGCAGAACCCCCTTGCCCACCGGCAACACCCAATATTTAGCTCTCAAAAAAAAAAAACTACCTAGGGGAACAGACTACAAAACAGATCTAGGGATACACTACAACTGCTCATGAACAAAACACCAGAACAGCAGGACAAAAATACAGCAATCTTTGACAAAAACTGTAAAGGGCCAATTTGTATACTTACATCTATGACATATGCTTCAGTAATGGGAGGTCCTCGAATTGGAGTAAATCGCTCTCCAATACTTCGTACCACAGTACTAAACACTCGGAGAAGAGCAGCAAGTTTAGGCAATGAAACAGATGGAGGAGGAATGTCTTCATCCACGGATTCCCCAGAAGCTACATTGCCAAGATCCTGAAGGGGAAAGGGGAAGTAATTATGTCAAACATTTATATGTACATGGGTTTGTAGTGCGTCAGACAATACTTAGATGCTCAAGCTTCTGCCATTTTTACAAATCAACCACTACAAGCTCTTGAGAGTACACCTCTCAAGAGCCCTCAGCCTTGATGCAAGCAGTGGGCTGGTTCTTGGGAGGATTTATGCAAATATCAAAATGCCTTGATGGCTGGATATCAGTTTGGAGGAGTGAGATTACCTAGGCAGGCTGCGTTTGCATGCAGACTGCTAAAAGTATTACACAGATGTCATGCTGAGCCTCCACGATTGAAAGAACTGAAATCCAATAAAAGTAGCAGTTTAGGCACAGTAATGCTCAGGAGGAAAGGGATGATGCTGGACATCCTCTAGCCAGGAAAAAAGGCAGACTGACTTGCTTCAGCTTCTAATGAACACTGTACAAAGCTTACAGTGTGCAGCACAATCACCGTAATTTCAGTGTCAGACAGGAGCCTCTACAACTGTGCAAGACTGAAGACAAGGCTAGAGTTCAGCTTCAACTAAAAAAGCCCTTTATATTATTTACATATACCAGTACACATATTTAACAGCTCATCAGTGAAATATGCTACTGTGGTATCTTATATTTCTTTGTACAGCACGTTTGCTCTGCAAGTGTAAGTATTAAAAAATCACAGCATTTTACATCCGACATGTCTATGTTAACACTAATTGTCAAACATTGAGGGATGCATTGGTAGAATTTGATTTTTTGAGTGTAAAAGGTCTGCTTAAAGTCCCCGATCACACATGCGCTGCGTGTGTTTAACACGTGTGTGCGTTAAACAAGCACTAAACATGCACTAAAGTGCGCACTTTGATGCACGTTTGCAAACCGTGTACAAATGTGGAACGCAATTACTGTGCCATTACTAGTTAATGGCACCCCAAACACAGCTGAGCAAACAAATTGATGTGGACGCGCACCAAATGCAGGAAGCACGCGTCACCGTGATGCTCAGGTTTGAAAGGGGGCTTAAATTGACACAGCCTATTGTAGAAGAATAAAGGAGGTCAGCAAGGCACTGCAAAGCAAATGCACTAATCAATAAATCGTAATACGTGAATAATATAGTGCTAAATATCAAATAGATCACATATAACCAATATAATTAATAAAAATAGTAATAATAATAGTAAAAAGTGTTTCTCATTGTAATATCTCCAATAGAGATTAAGTGCAAATTGGTAATTAAAAGCCCACCATAAATTGATGCGCAAAAAAAAAAAAAAGTGAAGGCGGGCAGTAAAAAGGTAAGTGAATGTGAAGATTTATAGATTTCCAAAACAAACCTGCAGAAATACACTTGCAGCCTTATTAAAGCAGGTTTTTCTCTAAGCCCGCCATGACTTTATATTCCGGAGTACCGTATAAGAGGAAGTGTGACCAGATCTCTGTAGTCTACAACTTCCTTCTCATCTTGGCTCCCTATTGGCCAGTGTGGATGCCCATCACACTTAGTAGCCAAAGAAAGCTGACAAAAAAAAAAATTGGGGGGGTTGGGTTAAGCAGGGGTAGCCAAACTCCGGCCCTCCAGCTGTGGTGAAACTACAAATTCCACCAGGCATTGGCAGATTTCCACAGGGTTAAGCAGGGGTAGCCAAACTCCGGCCCTCCAGCTGTGGTGAAACTACAAATCCCATCAGGCATTGCAAGATTCTCACAGCCATGACTCCCGGAGAGAGATGCAGCATGGGATTTGTAGTTTCACCACAGCTGGAGGGCCACAGTTTGGCTACACCAGGGTTAGGACGACTACACAAAACATGAAAGAAATCAGATTTCTTATCCCCCCTAATACAGCACTCTGGATTTTAGGTTCAGTGGGAAGCTGTGCAAGGAAAGGGTCTGTGCCCAGGCACTGTGAGGTCATTGACAGACAAAGTATTTCTAGTTAAATAAAATAACCATTACATAAACTTCTAGATTTCCAAATGAAATATAACAGACTCAATGGCTTAAAGTGTGGTTTTTGTGTAGCATTCTTTTAAATAGCTGATAAAGCAGTCCCTCACCTCAGCATAGGCTTCCATGTCTTCCAAAAACTGTCCCAGTAGAGTTGTGGAAAATGCCAGGTCTGCAACCCAAAATGGTTCGAGACTCTGTAACCATCCTGTAACAGCAAACCACTAATGAGATCAGTTGACAAAAACACAGATATTCTAAAAGACTTTATAGAAATGCTCCATTAATAATGCACACAGTGTAAATCTAAGCCACTGCACTCTTTCTGTATTTGGAGACTTTGGTGTCTCCATGTGTGTAGTGAGCCTGATGATGTATTATCACTCATCTTTTGTAATGCAGTTCCTGTAATACAGTAGCTGCTCTGCCAGGGTTCTGAAATAGTTTCCTACATGTCCACTAGCTTGACTGACTGAGAAACAGAGGTCGACACTGCTGACCTCATTCTAAAAACTCTAGCTGCCTTGCTATGTTACCAATTCACTGCCTGTCCTCATCTGCATACCCGTTCTGGGTTATTGGTTCAAAGGTTTGAGTTCAGAGTCAGCACAATAGAAAAAAAGACACCTAGCAACTGCAGATTAAGTCAATAATGTTTCTCTTAATAAAAAAAATAAAAAATAAAAGTTTTCTTTACACTTGATGCCAACATAACTTGAGGGAAACTAGATCAGAGGACAGGTTAGAGGGAGACCATGAAAGATCTGATCATTGCTTCCATCAAATAAAGCCAGCTTATTAGGGTAATGCAGTGCACTGCAGATTAACTAAGCGTGCATGTAAACCCTGGAAGATGTACAAATTCTCCCTACCACATATACATGCAACATGCTTCCAAGAGCCAACAGATTTGCTTTAAAAGTACTGTATATTTAAACCCTAAAACACTTTCCTTTATTTTCTCCTGGTAGTCCTGTGAATAAAACACTTTCTTCCCTAGGGTGGCAACACTCACGCACTCCAAGGTATCTAAGGGGGAGCCACAGTTGCCACCCAGGATGGACTTTAGCCATGTCATCTCCTCCATTTCTATTATAGGGGTAGGGGGATTAGCATACAGAAAGCAGACATTGCTTATGCTTTTAGTTCAGCTCACAGGAAGTGACAAGAACACTGGCAAGAGCAACAGGTATTTTGTGTACTTGCTAGAAAATGAAAAGTAATGCGACCATAACCTTTTTTGGGGTTTACATATTCTTTAATGTTCATCTAGGCAATGAGTGGTAATATTGTAGTTTGTGTACACACACACACACACACCTCTACTAAGTTTCAAGCAGTACAAAACGCAAACTGTGCAGGTTTCCTGAAACAACACCTTACAATTAAGTTTTACAGCACCTGAAACATGCAGCATGAATATGTTTGTTAGTGGTTTGAGCAGGATGATAAAAACTAAATTCATTTAGGTGTTAAAAAAATTTACAAAAAAGAAATTAAAAACTAAAAATTCAGAAGTGACAAGTGATGCAAGCATGACACAAATCCAAGCAACCGTCTTAATGGAAAAACAGCTTACCAGACACTTGCTGTGTGAGAGAAGGTTTTTGTGTGTGATCTATATGCCATCCAACCAAAATATCAACTGTGTCCTGTGCAAAAAGAAGATATAATTTATAAAGTACCAGCTTGCATTAATTGCATAATAATTGCAGAATAATTAACAATTACTCACTGATTAAGTCACTGATGCTTAACCGCATTAACAAATTAAAAAAGTGAAGGCCGTGCTGGACTTAAATATATACATAGGCTAGTATAATACAACTAATGAACAGTTCTCAAAAGCCATCCTAATTGCAAACATTAAAAAATGCTCAATCGTGATGTAATGCAACAGAAAAGTGCTTAAAAAAAGAAATAAAAGTCTATGAAACAAGAAAGTCCAAAGACCCACAACACAAAATATTATTATTGTACAGGCCAACAATTTGCGCAGCGCTTTACAATATAAGGAAGACATTACAATACAATTCAAGACAACATGGCAAGCAGGGCTTACAATCTAAATGGGAGGGGCAAGTGATACAGGAGGAGGTACCTGTGTGGGGATGAATTGTTTGCGAAAGTGATAGTTCAGTGATTAGGTTGAGGCGCGATAGGCTTCCCTGAAGAGATGAGTCTCAAGGGATCGCCTAAAGGCAGTATGGATTATTGGTGAATATAAAGAATATTCCAATCCTTGCAATCTGTGTCACTCAACACCACGTGGGACCCTTCATTTGCAAGAATGCCACTTACTCTGACTTCCAAATTATAGGCAGGGAAAATTAGGCCTTGATAAATACCCCATTCCAGACAATGCAGGGACAAACCTACTTCATCACTCTGCTAAAGGAAGACGTGGGAATTTTCTGCAGTGGCAGGATTGCGGTATTACACTTGCATACTCATGCTGGTTATAACTAATGCTACTTGAGCACTTTGAAAATGCTAGTTTGCTTTCTGTTGTGTGGTTTTCTTTTTAATAAATGCAAAAACACACTGTATGGAGTTTATTTAATCTTTGAGCCACTTCAGAGGTGGAAAGCTGGATAGCAGTGTCATTGAGACATCTGGAAATGCCACTTTTAGTCTGATGTGGTTTACAGAGTGGAATCATCATCCATGCCCGATATGATCTTCCTATAATTTAGTGGTCATGTAATCCAGCGAGTGGTATTCTTACAGGCAAATGGTCCAACACAGTGTTGAGTGACATGGATTGGAAGATTCTTTATATCCACATGTATTCCACTTTTTTTTGTACTTTGATGAACTGTGAACTGTTGGGAGAATGTTCCTGTTGCATTACATCGTGATTAAGCATTTTAATATACATGTAATAGTTAAGGATGCACCGATACTAGTAAATCGGTGCCGATTTGAGTACTCGCCCAAATGCTCCCAAAACCCAACCTTCCGGTATCAGGACTTGCCCGATTGGCCCAGAAGTCGGCTTCAAGCTTCCTCGTCACCAGGGAGCTGGCTTCCCGGCCAATCAGAAACTGGGGGGTGGGTAATGATTTGCCCCCCGGCTTCCTGATTGGCCAGGAAGCCGACTCCATGCTCCGTCACTTGGCTTCCAGGCCAATGAGGAAGCCAGGCGGTGTGTGATGACTCGCCGCCCGGCTTCCTGATTGGTTGGAAAGCTGGCCAATCAGGGAGTCAGGTGGCAAGTCAATACCCTCCCCCCGGCTTCCTGATTGGCCAGAAAGCGGGCCACGTGTTGCCTTGTATTTAGCGACGAGGGAGCATGGAGCCGGCTCCCCACCTAGATCAGGAAATCTTGACACAGGGATCCTCCAGTCACGGTCTTAAGCCCTGCATGAATGGGACCTTAAGGGTGATCAGAGGGGACCTGCATGGGCAAGATGACAAATAAAAAAAAAAAAAAAAAAACAAACCCAGAAGGGACACAAGCAAGATACATTTCACACATTTGCACAGCAATTCTGGCGTGTCCAGGTTTTCCAATATAGACTGCAGACTGGTCATAACCAACTGAAACAAGAGAAGACCACTATAACTTAAATAAAAAAAAAAAAAGAAGAAGAAAAGCAGAAGATATGTTTTAGTTATGAAGATTTTTTTATTTATTTTTTAAAAAATTGAGCTTCCAGTTTCTTTTCACACCTTTTCCATTAGGTCCTTATCCATCCTGTTGAACAAAAATAACCTATTTCAGTAGGTCATCAGCTAAAATCTACAAACCCAAAAAGGTAAAGAGTCAGAGAGGCAACTTGCTACCCTCACTCCATCCAGTGTCATAAATTACATCTTTACATTGTTTTAAGTAGGGATGCACTGATACCGATTCAAGATTCGTATCTGTGCCGATAACGAGTAATTGGGCGAGTACTCTTACTCGCCCAACTGCTCCGATACCTTTCCCCGATACTGGAGCTTCCGCTCAGAGGGAGATTTTCTCTGACAGGCAGTGCCGTGAGGGAACATGGAGCCGGGAAGCTGGCTCCATGCTGTTTGGCAGGCTTGATACTGATTGGCCGGGCAAAAACAAAATCTAATATGGCGACACAACCCCCACCCTGCAGACAAATCATTCCCCTCACATAGATCCTTAGTAGCAGTCATTACCGTACCAGTCTTTTTGCCAGCTGGGCAGACACCTATCTCCAAGCTCTTCCTGATCTGCCCATGTCTTATGTGCACAGCGCCCACGTGATCATTCGTCAGCCTGCTACTGCGCATGATTTCTAAATGAGCGCTGTGCAGTCTGCACATGCGCAGTAGCAGGATGAGGGTCAATCAGGTGGGCGGTGTACACACAGGAGACGTGGGCAGATCCGTGAGAGCGATGTCTGCCCAGCTGGACTGGTACGGTAATGACTACTGCTAAGGATCTACGTGAGGGGAATGAGGTGTCTGCAGGGTTGGGGGGGGGGTCATGTCACCATATTGTCAGATCTGTTTGGCTGGCCTCGATGCAGATTGGCTGGGAAGCCGGCTTTCCGGCCAATCAGCATCAAGCCGGCCAAACAGAATGGAGTTGGCTTCCCGGGCAATCAAGAAGTCGGGTGGTGGGTAATGACACGCCGTCTGGCTTCCTAGCATATATGAATGAGAGCACATTATACAAACAGATCTGCATACCTGAAGATTTATAATTGTATGTCATGCTTTTTTTAAAACCAGTTAGTGATATATTTATGTCCAAAACTGATATTTTATCTAATGAACTCTTTTTGTAATTGGAATACTAGTCGCGATCCTCTGTTAACCCTTTTTAAACCAGCCACTCTTGTTAGCTGGTTTATCTTTTTGGTATATAGGGTTCATTTTGGTTACGGATCTGGTTGACAAAAATGAGATAAAGGGTAATTTAAATGGTTCGGATCTCCAGGCAGAAACAAAATCGTTTTCTATTAGTACTGCAGCACCGCATGGGGGCTGGGCACATGGAACAAAAATAATATATGCCTGCAATGTTGTTTAACTTTATATAATATTAAAAAAAAAAAAAAGGACATTAAATAATGAAATAAGTAGATCTTGCCATTGCTAACAAAGGCTTGTATCCCCCTAGTGGGGAAAATAGATGAGCACATGCCCAGACTCCAGAACACTGTATAGTGTGGCACAGCTATATCCAATTCTGCATACCTGGCTTTATATTATAAAAAAAATATAATATAAAGCCAGGTATGCAGAATTGGATATGGCTGTGCCACACTATACAATACAGTGTTCTAGAGTCTGGACATGTGCTCATCTATTTTTCCCCACTATGGGGATACAAGCCTTAGTTAGCAATGGCATGATAAATATTCATTTCATGTTCTTCATAATATGAAGAAACTGACCTAAAATCATTATTTTGTATTGCTTTAGAAAAAATGTGACCTGCCCCTTTAAGAAAAAGTATCGGTAATTGGTATCGGTGAGTACTTGAAAAAAAAGTATCGGTACTCGTACTCGGTCTTAAAAAAGTGGTATCGGTGCATCCCTACAGAGAACTCAAGGGTTCACTCCAACGAAGTCAATATAACAGGTGCAGGGGGGCACACCTATAAAAGGTTACGCAGGAATTGAAATTAGACCATTGTCCCAGACTGGCGAGATGGGAATCATCAAAAAGGCACCTCGGATGAAACTAGAACATCTTCTTTGACATCCAGAGTTACACTGGGGCTTGCAGATAGCTGTGGAGCCTGCTTAAACCAGACTGCAGCCATGAGTCTAAGAAGCTGCTGATCCACCAGAATGCAGCAAAGCATCAACAGCCATGGAACAAGGGACAGAAATCTTAGCAGAATCCCTAAAAGTATTCCATCTCAATACGTGCATGACAAGGTACTGAAGATACCCCCAAGATACTGTAGGTCAAAGAAGTAGGATCAATTTCCAGGGAAATGGGTCCAATGAGGTCTTCTGGACATACTCTGTCCCCTGCAGAGAATACCTGCAGCAGGAAGCTAGGCTGCTGACAATCCAGGAAAGCACAGGGCCCTCCAGTGATGAGCTCTGTCCACCACTTAGGATCGTATGTGCACTCAAGTGTGCAAACCTCTCTCTTACAGTGCAGAGGCCGCTGGTTTAGGAGAGCCAGTTCCAAGGCATTGTGCTTAGGAACATGCAGTGCCAGTGAGGCCAACACTATCATGATTGCCTTGTGCAGGGACCAAGCTACTTTCCCTGTTGCAGGAGGATTCCCACTCCAATGCAGTCCAAATAAGAAAATTTGGTCAAGGCGAGATCATCCAAAGTGGAGGGAACCAGACTGCAGTCCCAAGGATGGAAGAGCTGAAGAGAATAGAATCCCCCAGTTACAGGGAAAATAAACTAACCCAGCCACCAGAAGCAGCTGAAGGATTACAGTAGTTACTACTTGGTATGTAGAAACAAGTCTGTAGGCCTGCTCAGAACTCAAGCTCATGAAAAGGAGGGACTGAAAGGAGCTAAAAAGGAAAAAAAAAAAAGTTGAGGTGGAATTCATCCTGAGGAAGAGGTTCCCCCAACTGCCTACACTCCCGTGATGAAGCGGTGAACACCTGCCTGATAAAAGGAACCAAGGGTGTGAGCCTTTTTACTAAGGGCTTAAATTGAACCACCTCACTCAACACTCGATCTGTATGGATCTTGCAGGAGTTGGGCCCTTCAGGAAGGTGCCTACTACAAGGATCCATAAAGCAAACTCTTCACAGAAGGAGCATTTGCACAGGAGGGATGTCAGGAGAGGGCACTAGACTGAACAGAAGGGCAAATGCTCAGAATGTAGTAGGTGTGATCGGTTGACAGCCAGGGTCCAGGTCTTTATTCAGGTAGAGGAGAACTGCTCCCAGTCAATCCTGTAGATCAGGTTTCTCTGGAGACAAGGGACAGTAGTATTATGTACCACAGGGGACTTTTGTAAATCCCAAAGACATGGTATCTTCCTTAGAAAAGGACTGGAGGCCCAGGTGGGGGACAGCTCCAGAACATGCAGATTGGAAGGTAGTTCAGAAGGGTTAGCCAACCTCGGAGTTCCAGCTTTGCCGGCTCAGTGGAAATGAGACTGAGGGCACAGGAGCACCATGGATGAAGCAAAAGGGTGGGAAATCAGGTTTCCTATTACTAGACACCCTATATGTTGAAGCAGCAGTATGCTCTGATCTCCCATGACATTACTAATGTCAAGCAAAGGGCTTTAGAGAAAACATTCCTTGAGGGCCAAGCGAGTTTGGCACTTCTTGAATGCGTCTGCACATCTCTATGGGCATTAGCCCCAAGCAGGACATAAGCTTAGATGCATGTAACAAGCCATCACAACAACTGAAGCATAAGACTAGACATTTTCTCCACACGCACCATGAAACAAGGGTCTACCCCAGCAGTGGAAAGTTTCTTTTGATGGAATTAACCCAATCTGACAGTTTGCCAGATTAAGGTCACTGTCAACAGAGAATGGAGGGCAGAATTGGCTGTTCAAACTGGCATTTAAAAGATGGATTTTAACTGACAGTATAGCTGTAAAAAATAAGTCAAGGCAACTGGACTTGCTGTATTTTTCCTAAAGATGTTTCACTGGTCATCTAACCAGCTTTCTCAATTCAGAATTCTGGTTAGATGACCAGCGAAACGTCTTTAAGAAAAAAAAATATAGCAAGTCTAGTTGCCTTGACTTATTTTTTTTACAGATATTCGATGACCTGGATGAATGAGAACCTTCAGACATATTGCCTGTCAGTAGGAACCTTAAAAAGGTAAGCATGCCTTCTACCTTTCTAGTCGTGTTCCTGTCAAGGCGGGTCACTGGTGGATCCACAGTGGAAATAGACTGCCATTAAACGAATTCCTCTCAAAAGGGGAACAATTGCAACACACCCTCAAGTGGGGCCCTTAAGGGTCACTTCAGGGTGCTTCCAGTCCTCATAAAGGAATACCTTGAATAGCAGGTGCAATGGGAAAGTTTCTACCGCTGTAGACGTTCTAAAAAGAACAAAGGCAGGAGAGTAGATGCCCCCAGTACCACCAGGAGACTGCCCCCACTGTGTGTGAGTGCAAGACATGATGAGTCTTGAGGCCTCAGGTACTCCTAAACCCAGGCAAGTGGTGTTGAGAAGGGTCAATTGGACAGAGGTGACAAGGTCACCAGATGCAGGCAGTGGGAACAGACCAGAGATCCACATAGTACTTGTAAGAAGGAGCAGCAGAAATCTGAAAGACACCCAACTGTGCAAATAGAGAGGTAGCTCCCAGTGCATTAGCCTGCACAGCCTTATTCACAAATGATTCTTCAGAAAAGAGGTCAAGCGCTGATGCAATGCAAACGCTCTGGAAAGCGCTCTACGGCTAACATTTACCAGTACACGAAGGTCTGGGAAGCACCACAATGCAAAACCCAATGTCACACTCCAGGCAAGCCTTGCACATCCACAGACCGGGGTGGTCCGGGTACAGCACTTCAAAGTCAAGCTGAGGAAAGGCCAATCCAGGCAGCTGCTATGCAGAGACCAGTTTAAGCTACAGTGCAGTAAGGATTCTTGATTGAAGTTAATGAAAAACTAAATCCATAAAGAAAAATCAGGAAAAAAAAAAAAAGATATACAAGGCTACAGCTGAAGAAAAGGTGTCCATCCTCCCAGGAAAGCTAGCAAACAAAACCGAGGGATTCTGGGTAGAGGATGGGTTTACTGGAGGCTGGTTTACAATTTTTCTATTTGCCAGTGTCCAATACAAAAGGCAACACTAAAATGGCCCAAGAGGGTAATCTGTAATGCAAGATACCTCCAAACCGGAGTATATTAGGTCTTATAAAACAAAACACTTGATAAAATGTTTTAACATATCAGGAGGCAACATGGCAGAGCAAACTATGGTATACATTTAAACATACCTGCATTACTGATGAAAATGCCTTCTTTTCTCCTACAGTTTCCAAAGCTTTGTAAGTGGCACAAAGTAGAAGTAACTTCACTTCATCTTTAGAAGAGGAGCTAAATTTGTTAAAAATCCACTTAAAGATCTTCTCTGCCTCATAGCTCAGACCAGCACAGAGCAAGCCAAGGCACTGTGCTCCCTCCTGCCGCAGTTCTTGAAGCAGTTTGCTACTGGAAGAGTGGAAGAGTAAAAGACAGTCATATTGTTTGAGCACAGCAGGAAACCTACAGGTAAAAAAGCTGTACTAATCTAAAGGCATTGTGCACAGTCTGTACAAGAACGGTCTACCTACATGCATATAAACAAACACACGCACGATAAAATATAAAAACCCCATTTTAAGAGAATTTAGACTCCTATAATTACAAAAACTAATACTTTGTAAGGTCTTCCAGAGTACTCAGAGCACTACATGACATACCCTCAATTTCAGGAGCTAAACGTATGCTAGGAGCAGCCCTCTACCACATCTCACGATAGGTCTGTAAAACTGTTCATATGTCGTGCTAATTTTGGCCGGTTCTTGATAAACCGAACAAAATTCACACAGTGGGTGACCGTCAGCACCATCTGGCATTATTCGATCAGAGAATAGAAGGAACCGGATAGATCATCTTTGGCGAACAGTGACAGCAGCTGATTGGTTGCAGTCCCTGTTCGCCTGAAGATTTTCTATCCGGTACATTCAATTTTCTATATTACAGTATTCTGACAGCAGCACACCCTCTACTGTCAGAATACAAAGGACACAGTGGGAGATTCGTTCATCCACGCTGTTTAGCATGGAAGGAGGAAATCGGTTTTATTTCGTTCTGCCTACAGGCTGAACAAAAAACGAACAGTCTATCACTGCACTTTAAAGCTGGCCCATACACTAACAATGAAGGGCAAATAGTGGACTTGAGCTCAAAAGTTATGAAGTATATAACCAAACCCCACAGGTTTTGGGGCCCATGCAGCACTGAAATCTAGAACACATTTCTGCCTGCATATACTTCATCCCTGTAGACTGTTAAATGCAAACAGAGGTACACTTTAAATCCCATAGAAAGATTAAATGGAGCCACTTCATTCGAAGTGAAAACATACCTTTCATTTAACACATCATTTATAGCAGTCAGGATATTGTCAAGATGTTTAACCAGCACCTACATAAAAGAAAAATTAAACAAATTGCACAGGAAAATTTAAGACAGGACAAATACAAATGCAGAACAAAAGCATTACATAGGGCTTGGTTATTCCTGAATTTGTACCATGTACCACTGGTTCATGGTACCAGTGCAAAGTTCAGGATTTACCACTACCCTGGTGGGAGAATACGCTTAATGGCTTTCTGTGAACATACAGATTAAATTAATCTGTGACCCAAGAAATAGGTGATATCATGTGCTTCAGCTGCAATTTTAGAACCAACAACATTCTGACTGAACAATTGCTCCTTTAGTTGGTGGTAAAAGTAGTAACAGCTTTTTAATAGAACAAGTCTAAAAATGTTATTGAAACACTGAGTTAAAATGACTACTGTATAACTGGAGCTAAATATATCACTGAAAAACTTGCCCTATTCTCATTAAGTCCACTGGGGAAACGTTCTAGCTTCTTAGTATATTCTGTGATTATAGAAGGGTTGGGACACGCAAAAAGCAAAGCTGCTCTTCCTCTATGGCTATACAGCACCACAAGGCACTGGATCATCAGTATGAAGACAGCGGTAGCAGTACCTACTAGAGAAACAAAGACTGCCAAGGTCAGTAGGAGTAAAGGTTACATGTACTGAAACCAAACAAAATTGACAGATTCCCAAAATTCACGAGCAAGCTAATTTTGACTTTAACTCTCATATCTATCCTATGACATAGGAGAGTAAGAATCCTCCATGGACCCACCGATGCAGCTGCAGGTGTTCAGAAGGAAGACCCCATTATGGACAGCTAGGACCACCACCCGTCACTAGGAATCTCATATGGAGGTGAAAATCTTTGGATTATTTTATTCAGCACAAGTAGAAGGTCCAGGGGCAGCTTATTAAAAAAATTGTGATGCTATGACTTATTTTGCACCTTGGTTTTCTATAACCTCTCACCCCTGCACATCCCTTATGGACCAGAGCAGCTTTTACATTATAGGTATAGGTAGAAATCATAGCTTCAGCGATGCCCCTAACTCTCAGAACCTGGTCTTCAACAGCCATTCTACTAAAGCCAGCAAACCAAAAGAATGGCAAATAAGTCCTTGGGACAGAAAATTCTCATGACCTGGCAATGACCAAAGAGTATTTGCTAGGAGTCGTTCCAAAGCAGCGCACCTAACATGCCTGGGCCAATTCAGAGCAATGAGGATTACTGGAAGGCCCCTCATCTCGATCCTGCAAAGCAGATGAGGAAGAAGTGCATAGATCAGGGTGTACTGATCCCACAAAGCCACCAGAGCATCCATTGCTTTTGCTAAGAGATCTCTGTAACTGAAGAAAACCTGTCCAGTGTTCTTGAACCCAGAGGCCAGGAGATCCACTTCTGGCATCCCCCACCCTGAAACACCTCAGGGTCAGGGGACCACTTCCCCTGAGTCCATGTGCTACCAGCTGAGGAGATTTGCCTGCCAACTGTCCACTCCTAGGATGTAAATGGTGGACAGGGCCCCAATTGAAGTTCCACCCAGAACAGTGTCTGTTCCACCTCTGTTTCCAGGAAGACTTCTGATTCCCCCCTAATAAGCGATTTACACCACTGCCGTGGTGTTGTCCAACAAACCGGATCAGGTGGCCCTCCAACAGAATGGTCCAGCACTTCCGAGGCTACCAAATTGCTCAAAGATGTTGATCAGGAGACAAGACTCCAAGGACAACAAAGTCCCCTGCGCTAACTGGGTGCCCAGGACAACTCTTAAGCCCGCAAGGCAGGTGTCTGTCTTAAGACACCTCCAAAAACGACTAGAAGGAAGGACCTCCGAGTCTAGAGCCAGACTCTTGAGCTACTAAACCAGTGCCACACTGGTCCTCCATGACATGAATTGGACTCTGCAGAAACCGGACGACAGAATGTCACAAAGTCTAGAGTGCAAGAGTGTCTGAAATTTCTGATGGGAAAGAACAATCTGGTCTAAGCTGTGTACAGGACTAGACACAGACACTCCAAACAAGGAGTCAGTTCGAGTGACAATTTCTGAAATTTCATGACCCATCCGAACTGCTGTAACGTCAGGATTGTAAAAGCCACATTGTCCGACAAAGCCTTTGCCAACTGTTCCCTCAAAAGTAGGTTGTCTTAAGTATCCCATAATGGGGATGCCACAAGAGCACTGAGTGCTAGTACTGGAGCTAGCACCTTGGTAAAAACAAGAGGTCCAAGAACAAACTGGTAGTGCGTAGGAATTGTTGATGCACTGGGAAGATGGGGACATTTGGGTAAACATCTTTAAAGCCAGAAGGGAGTAGATGGATCCAGGTCACACCCAACTGAGTTAAAGAGGACTCTGTTCTTAGAGTCTAACCTGTCCTCAGAGGTCAACAGAATTTCATGCTGCAGACATCAGCACCATAAGTAGGCATGCTGCAAAGCCATTAGAAGAATCTGGCCTGGGGGCACCCAGTACAGCGGAACTGTCCCAGCGTCTAGAATCAGACATGTTATGACAACAGAGTTAAAGCAAAGTGTATGCTCAGGGTCTAATCTCATTCAGGAACAGTACACTAGCAACATAAATCCCGCGCAAATATATGCTATGCAACTTAATGAGAGTTCAAAACACTTACAATTGCTATGATCAATTCCCCACCCGGTGTCTTCATAAGAATTATACTCATAAGAATACAGAGGAAATTGCAAAAGCTACAGTCAAGTGGAAAGGAGAAGGCACATTTTACATATATTCCTATTGTAAACAAGGAAGTAGACTGATTTCCATGGTGAACAATCTGTTAAGCTCTTTATCTGCTAAGGGATTTGCAATGCTGACATCACAGCCAGGAGGGCAACACCATTATACTCGATATTATTGTTGTACAATTGGGTCATCTCCCCACCTACAGCTTTCTGCCTGAATAATGGAGCAGCAACTTGCTGGTAAGTCATCCGCTCTGCTCTCTCCTATCTGTATGATCTCCATCAGCACATGTGCATACAGCAGAACCTGGGTAGCTCATAGTGGTGTTGTGCAAAGGGATAACCGGAGAAAAATATCCAGACAGGTTCAGGTACTTATGTTCGTTGTAAATAAAAATACATTTTTAAAAACGAACAAACAGCATGCAGTTTTTAGAATGTTCTTCTTTGAAACAGCTATAGCATTGGAGAAGAGAAGACTTCTGTGACATACTACATATTTACCACTAATATACAGAGAATTAAAAAAAAAAAAAAAAGCTACAAACCATTTTGTTTTCTGGTTGCTGAATAAATTCTTTCAGCTGCTTAACGGTAGCCAGTCTTCGGTCTCTGTCGTCTTCCCGGGTAATCCTCCGAAGAAGATTCGACAGCCGAGACTCTTCAGAATAGGACAGCGATCGATCTGTGGGATTTATAAAAACACATAGTTTCAGGTTTATGTTTTTCGATACTAGACATTCATTTATCATGTTGGTAAAGAACTCACAGTAAGCCCACTACCCCTGTGGTACAAGATGAAAAAGATCAGGATGGCCAAATGCATTTGAGTAATTAGTGTCTTTTCTCAGAAGTTCCCAACAGGTTTGATTTATTGATTTATTTCACTGACCTTTCCTTTGCCACCGCTTTATTCAACAGTGGAAAGTAAATAACCCGTTGTTCCAGGTATGGAGAAGCATGTGACCCACATGTGAACTAGATCATGTATGTGGTAATTTCGTGGTGGTATGTGGTAAAAAGCCGACTACACAATGGTGCTTAAACACCAACAACTACAACTGTATTTTTAAAAACAGGCGGGAAGGTAGACACGTATTTCTGGATTGCAGTTTATAAACGTCACTCAAGAATGCGCCCATTATTGAATGATCTGAGCATCGTCAGGCGGATCAAATCACAGGCAAAGCGTACAGAGCTGATCCAAGCAGCTCTGAACTTTGTGACTGTTTGTGAAGACCAATCACAGCAATCACAAAATAAACCATATTACGCCTTCCTCTCACGACAGAGAAATGGGAAGAAGTGAGGGTTTCCAAAGGATTTATGCAAAAAATGGATCAGAAGCAGCAGATCAAAGGAAAGGGATTTAAAATGGACAGTGGGATCCTCTTTTTTCTGAACCCTTTCACTCCTCCTCCTCCTCTATACATCTCAGCTCCATCCAGTCCCTGTAATGCCTGTGTATCAACTCTGTCACCTCCCTTATCTTGCACATTAACCCCCTCATCTCCATCCTCCCACTGTATGGGGCCCGCAAATTAACCCTTCACCTCAATCTCCCTCTGTGTATGACCAGTACATTATTAATGCACGGTATCTAGTGTACCTTTACCAAGCTCCATTAAATCACCGCAATTCCAGCATGTTTCTTCGTTTCCCGAAAAAACTGGGAATAAATTAGCATTACCTTGGGGTATCTACTATTTAAAAAGGGGTCAGATTCAGGGGTGTTGGTACTGTCTTGCCATTTTTATTTCATATGTGTTATAAACAGAATGTAAGGGAACAAGATTTATTTTTAAAATTCTGGCCTTTTTTCCCCCATTTATATAGGGGGGAAAAAAAACAAAAACAGAAAAGCTAGTGGTTATGAAATACAGCCAAAAGAAAGCTCTGTCTCACAAAAATGGTCTAAAATGTATTTGGGTACAGGGTTGCATGACCGAGTCACAAACTTTCATAGCACTTAAACTGAAAAATAGCCTGCTAATAAAAAGGGGTATAAAGTACAAAAATGGTTAAATTACACTATTATAAATGATTCTGGTACAAATCATTGTAAAATTAGTTATAAATTAAATACAGGCTTTTCTTTTTTACTGCTTCAAAAAAAACAAAACTATTAGGGCTTGTTTACACCATTTTCTGGTGCAGATCTTCAGACGCGGTGCTATGCATGCAGCGCGTTTTTACCGCGTTACAGTTCCCTTTTTTGTGGAGTGAGGCTGTCAGCTGTTAACTGCAGTGCGGTGCGTTTTTGCGTGTCCCTGCAGCTGATCTTTCTGTTACTGACTTACCATGCACTGTGTCTGTGTGTGGCTACAGACATCTTGATAAGAGGCAGGGTTTTGCTTCATGTCAGCGCATCTAGCAAGAACAGTGGTAGCACAATAGTGACATCAACGAATGTCACTCCAAATCGGACACTAGCAATCAGAGGCAACAGTGCCTTAGATCTCACACTCCAGATACTAAGCTATGAAGCTGTAGTCTCTCATACCAGTAAGGGCACTGCAATTTTTCAGGGGTAATTTCAGATAAAACCACATTTTCAGTGTACTCCTAGGCACATTTAATATTTCTAGATGTTCCCTAAAACAAAGCAAATCTCCATTTTTTTAGTTCGGTTCCATTTTTCCACTTTAACTGCCTAAAATAAAACATTATCCTTAAAATAAAACATTATCCTCAAAAGCAAACTTTTGCAAAAGCTAAAATTTCAGTCCCAAGTCTTTCTATAAAAGGACAGATGACTGAAGGTGCGGAGAAAAACCTGGAATCTGTCATCCTGCCTGCTGCAACAAAACATCTAAAAAGGTTAGAAATATATATTTTTTTTAATTATTTGTCGGTATGCTGTGTGAATAGATGCACATAAAAACATGTATATTAGGAGGGTTATTTCAAAATTGACTGCAAATGTGAAAAAACACTTTAACCCTTTCGCTGCCAAGGACGTACGTCGTACGGAGCTACAAAAGTGCTTCCAGTTGGCCAGCTCAGTACGTCGTACGGACCTAGCATTTACAGTTCTACTATAAGCTGATGGTCGCTTTAGCGACCATCAGCTTATAGTAGAACTGTTCAGCAGACTGTCCCCTTTAAATTAATAGCTGTCATCAGCGGCTCACAAGCCGCTGATGACCGCTAATTTTAAAAATACCGGGCGCCCCCC